CACTCACTTGGATTCAAGAATGAACTGATTACAATTAGGTGATATGGGGTCAAAGGTCAAGGTCACTGTGATTGCACGCAACAAGAATTCATACTTTATGACAAAATTTCACACAAATGTCTCAAAGGATAAAATGATGAAGCCATGGCATTTTATATCCAAAAGGTCAAAGGTCACTGTGACATTATAATTTTCTGCAAAAACACTTTTCTGGCCAGTCATGTCAGAAAGGGAGACATTATTAGTTGGTGACACTAATCTTCTGTGCAGCCGGGGAAGATGAGTGTGAAGCATCCGTGTTTTCACGGGCACTGTAAGTGCAACTTGACTGGTTCACAGAGGCATACAAGTTTCAGGCAGTAATTTTATTTTCCATGTGTTCTTCATTACTTTGTGAGAAAACATTTTCCTGACAGTTACCAAACTACATCAAAATAATCAGAGTAATCTTGGATGTGATTCAGTGTTGCAGCATCACTTTGTGACATGTCTTAATTAAAGCCAAAGTCACTATTAAACAATGGACTGACTTCTGTTTGAATTATAGCAAATGTCTCAATAATGGACAAGTGTGCTGATTTTTGACCCAGTTACTGTTTGGGGAAAAAGTTGTCCTGTAACAAAAATATTTGACAACACACTAGCAATTCCAGTGAGAGTATGACACAGAGACACAGAAAAAGATGAGAGCACAAGTATTTTTATGTTTTTGGGTCACAGTATGCCAAACAATACACCCACAGTCTTTGTGTTCTGGTCTGTCAAGCCTCTTGTTGTACAGAGATACAGCAGAGAGTCTGAGGCCTGACAGAGACCAGGTGCTTCTCTTTGTCTCAGCAGTCTCCCTTCATCTCCAGATCGGTGCTTGATGCTGAACCTGCTTCTACAGGTTAATGTGAAATAAAAAGAAAGTCCTCACCACATCACCACAGGAGCTGCTTAACGCTTTATCTTCTTCATGGCATCCAGCTTTGCTTATTGTCGGTGTTTGTTATGACCTTAACTCAAGGGGAACACACGGAACACCTAACAAATTTACCAAATAACTTTGACAAAAAAGTCTGCTGAATCACTTAAAGGTAACAATGAAAGTAATTTATTTACAGAAAATTATGCATAGAAATCCATTCATCTTTATCAGCTTATCTGGGGCTGAGTCGGGGGGGGGGGGGCTGAGCAAAGTACTCTAAACATCTCTCTCTGCAGCAATCCCAAGGCATCCCCTGGCCAGAGGAGATATGTAATCCCTTCAACTTGTTCTGGGTCTACCCTAGGACCTCCTACCAGTTGGACTTGCCCAGAGGCACCTAGGAAGATCATGAACAGATATACCTGAACCACCTCAACCAGCCCCTTATGACACAGAGAAGCAGGGCTGTACTCCAAGCTCCCTCCAGATGTCTGAACTCCTCACCCTATCTTTGAGGCTGAGCCCAGCTATCCTACAGGAAACTCATTTTGACTGCTTGTATCTATGACCTCATTCTTTTGGTCTCTACCCAAAGCTTATGACCATAGGTGAGTGTTGGGACATAGATGGATCGATAAATTGAAAGCTTTGCCTTCCAGCTCAGCTCCCTCTTCACCACGGCAGTCCGGCGCAGCACCTGCATCACTGCCGCACCAGAACACTGATCCATCTCATGCTCCAACTTACCCTCACTTGTGGACAAGACTTCTAGAAACTTGAGCTCCCTCCTTTGGAGCAATAACTCTCCCAACCCAGAAGGAGAAATCACCAGTTTCCAGCAGAGAAGCATGGCCTCAGACTTGGAGGTACTAATTCTCATCCTGTTGGCTTCACACGCAACAGCAAACTGCCCAAGTGCATGCTGGAGGTCATGGTATGATAAGGCCAATAGAACAACAACATCTGTAAAAAAAGCAGTGATGCAATTCTGAGGTCCCCAAACCGGACCCCTTCCTCCCCCCAGCTGCACCTTGAGATCCTGTCGATGAATATCACAACAGAATTTCTAACCAAACATGTTAGCAATTAGCTGACCTTGCTACATTAACGTAATGTTAAATTTAATGTAGCCCAAGTTAGCTAATGACAGATATCGCCATTCTCAAAAAGCTTTTTAATGAATTCTTATGACTCTAAACAGACAGTAACACATTCAGCGAACATTTAACTTTATTCAGTCTTACTTTTAGCTCTATGTAAAGTATATTAACATGATGTTTCCAAGCTAATGCTCCACATCTGCCTTAACAACACAGTTTACATATTTTTATATCTTGTATTTTACTAAATCAGAGTTCTACTGAGTGAAACACGATGCCGAGTTTAGCCGCAGACCTCAGTAATGTCAGCAATATAAAGTAGTGGTAAAATGAATAACTTAAGGCAATCATTTTTATATAATAGAAAGTTCATGTTTTTCATTTTTAAATTCAAGGTATGCTGCTGAGTTTATTATATAACCGGCAATTTTCTAATGTAGTTTGAGAAGGCAGTCAGACAGGGAAAGACAGGAATATCATGTCCTGACACTGAGTGACAGACCTGTCATTCTAGGTTGTTATTGTCTTCCACAAATTCTGATTTAATACTTCTCCCCTCTCAGAACTCTTTTAGTTTTATTATTTCTTAAGTTGACAATTCACATCCCGTATTGATTAAGGAAGGGACAGTGCATTTTATTTTTCAAAACAGGACGGTATTAAATGGGACGCTGGCAACGGAAACTGTACCATTGGTTAAAGTGCTAGTTTAATATCTATTAAAAAACAAAGTAATATTTGCTAAACTTTAGGCTAATTACATTCAAAAAGAACCGCCGTTGGTGATAAGACACCAAGATTAGCAACTGGGACTACCCATGAAGAGTCATTGCCACTAACCTGCTTACTTATACTTCTGCTATCTCACTGGAAGTTGCATTCATAATCATTTCTACAGTAGCACCTTCAGGAATAAGGTGCATACAGCTCCACTCACTATCAGATGCAGGTCAGGTGTGGGTGATCCAGGCCTTTGGAAAGGCGCGTGGCGGACCTTGAACATAATGAGCGCAAGAGACATCTCTGTTCCAGAAAGAGGCAGTTCAGTTCAATTAAATTTAATTTATAAGTCCCTGTATACCCAAACACAATTCGTCTCAGATGGCTTTACAGCATACACCATCCATCTGTCCTTGGACCCTCACAGCAGGTAAGGAAAAACTCCCCCTCACCCCAGAAAAACCCTTTAGCTGGGGGGTAAAAAAGGTGCAAAACCTCAGGAAGAGCAACTGAGGAAGGATCCCTCTTCTAGGACAGACAAACGTGCAGTAGATGTCGTGTACAGAACAGATCAACCAATAAATTTACAGTAATCCATATGACACAATGATACAAGAGGAAGAGTCAGGGGACGTAGCGATCTTCAGGGTTTGATTTTCCGTCAGATTACTGTCGTTTGTGAATGGATTGCAGGTGACTTTGAAGTCTCAGGTCCCCTGCACTGCATTTGCAACCACAGTATGACTTGAAGCTACATCCATGTTTTGATATTGCCCCATTTTCACCATATTTTTTGGTTAATATTTTAAGTATGTCCCTTTTGCCATGTATTCACATGTGTGTATCACTGCCCTAACACAATGGATGATCTACATCACATAATTTATGTACCACTCTGTTAAAACTGGTGGGTTGGGGTCCAAAAGTTGGTTGTGGGTCCATTCTGAATAGACCACAAGTGACTCACAAACGTGTCGTTTTTTTACACATTTTTGTAAAAAAAACAAAAAAAGAAACATATTGAGTACTGAGTACAGTGAGAGCTTTTATTTCGAAGTACTGTTTTCTGTTGTAGAATGAGTGACTAATGGACAGCTTCTTGACACAGACAACAAACTATCTTGTCAACATGGCCAAACGCAAGTATGATGGTGAATATAATGAACTGTGTGGACCTTGAACTAAGACTAAGGAGAAATTTGGACCCTTTGGCTGGTCCAGTGTGTTAAAGGACGATTCACAGATCCTAAAAACCTTCTGGTGTATCACCAATATAACTGTTTCACACCATAACTGTTACTTTATCTTGACCCTGACACTAAACGCTCACCAACTGTTAACCCCGTAGGTTTCTATGAAATCAATTAAGGTTTTGCAGGAGGCAAATTGGACAAACAGTGAGATATTAGGCACCTGGGACAAAATTGATCATTTAACTTGAGTGCAAGTCGATATGAATGTTTGATGAATTCTGATAATGATATAAACAGAAGCATCTGGTCCCAGTGAATCATCAAATTGTGCATGTGTGTGTTGCTGACCATTGATCTACAGTATTTTGAAATCCTCTGATACTGATATTCTCCCAGTAATCAACCAAAACCTGCTATCTGAGTGAGACAACCCCCCAGTTAAAGGGGAAGTTGCAGCTGGTCATGAGGGGATTTGATACATGATGCGTGTGTGCTGCAGGGAACATCAATGCGATGATGAACTTTACATGTATGTTTGTGTCGATAGCTTCCTCCAGGGGGATTGAATGATTTAGTCCCCCGTTTTATTACAACGTGATGAACGTGTGCATGTTGCAACTCTTTGTACTGCACACATTTTACCTGCATTTTCACAGTAGTAGTTTATACACAAATCTTTAGTGTCCTTTTAATGACTGTTTTTACATGAATATAATGTACTTTCCTTTAAAAGCTTTTCTTGAAGATTTCATATTTAATTTCTACATTACAGTTACCCAGCAATGAGCAGCTTCTCTATTTCCTGTCTTTGTAACATTTTTAACAATTTAACGCACACACTGATAACTTTGAATATACTTGGTTTTCTCACTTTTTCAGTGTGAAGACAGTTTATACTTCAATCCTTGTTTGATACCGAGTATGTATTGGACTGGCTGGTTCAGCCCTGCTACCCTTGCCTTCGTACCTTGCCCTTGTCCCCCCTCTCCACTTCCAAGTCCCTCAGCTTTCACATTAGTATTGTTTTTCCACACCAGAGTACACTTGTTTCATCATCTATGAGACATTTATGTTGTGCTAAAGGGTGGAAACTACACCGCAGACAGACACTTCTGCCCGAGCAAAGCTCTGCTCCTGGCCAGAGGAGGAGCTGCTGCTGTCGAGCGTGGAGCTCTTTGTCTCCCGCTGGAGCTCCAACTGCAGGTGGAGGGCAGTACCGAAGCTGGATCTGGGTCTGTTTGCAGCAGACTGCGCTGCCATCTGATATAGAGGCGTCAGTCAGTGCGTTTACATGCACAGTTAGTACAGCTACGGTCATAACTCGACTAGGCCATTTAATTGGACTACTGTCCTTGTCCCATTATACAAGCACAGGAGGGGAATCCATTTATTGACAGAAGCATATCTGACTCCACAACAATAGGTGGCGATATGTTAGTATCGGACCTTTTTCTGGGTGACCTGTTGCGTCACAGACCACACAATTGTCATACAAGTTGGCTATGCTTAGCTAGCAGGAAAGTGGTACCATTGTGAACAACTTTACATCTCTGTACCATCGTACGTGCTGTGCGCTTTACATTTTCTTTTTCTTCTCTTCTTCTGTTATGCTTCTGTGGAATAGGCGGAGAGTATTCTGACTCCCAATCACATTTGGTACGATTTCAGTTGGTCTAACATGTTAACGTGTATTTTAAAAGTCCGGTTTTGGTCGGACTGACACAATAAATCATTTTTGTCTGATGTCATATAAACATACTGAGTATTAAACTGAGGGTGTCTCCTGACTGGTTAAATGCTCCTTGTAGTAGTGATAAATAGCAGTCCATGTCCGTGTTTTGGTACAGTTTGTTCACAGCTGATGCATACTGTACTGGAGTACACATGAACTATACTTGAGACCACCCTTTCAAGTGGCCTCAAGCACTGACCGAGTCCACTGACCATGCCCAGGTACTCTAAACAGTATTCACACTAATCAAACAAACTGGATTTTGAGGTTAATTGTATTCAGGTCCAGACCCAGGTCCCTGTTGTGAAAGCCCTCTTAGTTACAAGAATGTCAGGGCAGATTCAGAGTTGTTAGTAATTTTGAAACAATGGGACCAAATAGATTTTTTTTTTTTCACTTCTAACATTATAAGAGAAAAGGCTTTTAGGATAAAGACTAACCATTGTGTTTGGCAGATGAAAGGTTGGGTCACATGTGGGGATGGTAAAGTGCAGTTCTCCAAATTGAGTAAAGAGCAGGACGGAAACACTAATGTTAGCCTAAATTTTGAGAGCATTCAAGACCTGCTTCCACAAAGTGAGGAAGTAAAATACATATTGTTAATGTAACCTGTCACCCAAAACATTACATTGTCAATAATGATGCACTGTTTGCTTTGGTTACGAGTCCAGATTACACTTACGCAATTGCTTTTTATGCTTTTGGTTAAGCTTAAAAAAGATATAACTCTTCAATCTTTTTAAATAAATATGGAGCAATCCAAAGCTTAAGACCTGCACCGCCTCATCACTTGGGACACACACCGTTTGAGTAATCTTTTATATTTATACATTGTTGCTGAATGTCCTGAGGGATTTAAACATAAAAATGCAAAACAGCCAACAAGTAAATGTGCACAAACATGGCAGAGACTCGTGGCCATTATTGTAGCGTAGAACCAAGAGCTTTAACTAGTCATAAAACCAATATGGAACAACTGTGAAACTTCCAATGGGATTGAAAGAAGGTCTGTCCAGTAAATGAAATGCAGAGGTGAGTAGAGCTCATTACTCACTGTCACAGAGCGACTGACAGGTACATCAGCCTTGAAAATGCACACAGCAAGCTATTTTTAAATAACAGTGACAGGAGCTTGAAGTTGATGTCCCATTTCATGTTTTTTCCACCCCACCGCTCAGATCGTGCTCCTTTTGTCTGAACAGCTGGCACAGATACAACGAAAGATCCCATGTGCAAACACTCCGACACAATAACCTCTCTCTTTATAGCACTTTTCCGCCAGAAAACACACACACACATGTACTGAAGCCCAACATGGCACCCTTGTCCACCCATCACAGACTGACGTGCACTCCTCCCTGAGAGCAACTCCCATTCGAGGGTTCTTTTAATTGGTTGCAGCTCTCCCCAGGGTGGGAGCTGTGTCTGAAGGCAGACACAGTAATGGTTTACCATGGGAGCTGTGCATTAAACATACAGTTCAGTAGAGCCACAAAGGAACACTTCAGCATATAGAGTGCCTAAGGCGCATGGCTGTCCCTTATGGATGCCCAGTGTGCACACAACATCAACTAATCACTCTGTATTTACAGTCTGGGGTCACAGTAATGAATCTGCTGTATGTTGGAGGTTTTATCAATCTATGAGCTTCTGTTACGCTCAGAGGAATTGACACAAGTGAATTGATGAGGTGGACTTACGTTGGCCTCCAGGAATCAAAGTCAGTTTTCATAATAGTTTTTGTTACAGTAATGGGTTTGATAATGAGCTGTACTTGGTTTATTTTCCACACTGTTCTCTGTGCTGTTATGTAATCTCATGAAAATCAATAAGAAAGTCAATGAAAATGAAAATGTCCCTGACAGCACCGTGACCTTTGGTTGGTGGGCTCGGCTCCGACGAGCATCGTGATTGGAGAATGGGATTGTGCTTGTGCAGTTACCTGGTGATGAAATTTATATTTTTCATCAAATTATGTAATGTGGACAAATATCATATATGGTAATTGGCACTTCCTTTAAGATGCTATGTATTTTGTCACATGTTTATTATGTTACACACTCTAATAGCACATAAGAAAGTGGTTCTCTTACTTTCTGAGTACTGGACCGCCTCTGATGGCATCCTCTGCTGCACATACGTACAAAGAACAAAGTCACGTTCAAGTGACTAAGCCTTTTAAATACATTTGAAATATAAACTGCTGCATATCAAAACATACGTTTACAGACTCTCACACAACTGGTGCAGTATAATCCAAGTCTCATTTATCCAGTTGTATGCTCAGTACGGACAGCTCTGTCTGACTGGGGACTGAACTAAAAGTGAAACTTATCTATCCTCTCTTCAAAGCCAGACTTCATTGACAAAAACAGCAATTTTAACTTGCTGAACACAGGAGCTGCTGGTCACCCGCTGCCTCGATCAGTTAGTTTGTGTGTATCATTGTGTGACTTTGGTGGATCTGAACTAACTCTTTAAAACACCAAAGTCACACAATAACACAAACCAACTAACTGATCAAGGCAGCGGGTGACCAGCAGCTCCTGTGTTCAGCAAGGTAAAATTGCTGTTTTTATCACAGGGGTCTGACTTTGAAGAGAGGATAAATAAGTTTTACTTTAACTTCAGTTTACCTTCGGAAAGGGTTGTCTGTTTGGGGAGTGCTTAGCAGACGACCAAATAACTGAAAATTGGATTTAACTACAGAAGTTGTGTGAGAGTTTGTAAACAGATGTTTGAAATATATTATGTATATATTGCTGTTGTTAAATGTGGACCCCTATGACTTCAGTTCATCAAGAATTCTCTCCGTTTTTAGATTCTTTGTTTCTCTGAGAAAAACAGTTTCTTCACCAACTCAGTTTTACACAGGGTGAGTAATTGATATACAGATGGTCGTTTGAGGGGTGAAGTAATTCTTTAAATTTCATTTCATGTACAATTTAAAAAGTCTGAAGTCTAACTGGCCCTAAACTGTAAGAACCCTGCTGAAGTAATGTTCCACAACTTCCTCCTTTGCTCCTAAAGGACATGAGGCACAACTACTGAGGGAAAAGGCTTTTTCACCTGAGTGTACACACGTCTTTTTGGGGCATCTGCTGAAACGGCGGGTGCTGTCGTTTTTCTTGGGAGTACGGTCTCATAATATTATAAATATATGCTGTTGAAAGTGGCTCATAATACACAAAATACATGTTCATATGCAAAGTTTATCATTTGTCCATTTCACCTTTTTGTACCCGTTCTCATTCCAAAGTCGTCAGATAATGAAGTCAGTGATTTCCACGTCAGACACCAACGAGAAAAGCCATGCCACGTCATGCCACGGGGGCACAATTTATAATGCTGCCATATGGCGTCAATTTGAAACACTGCTGGAAAACGACATAACTTAAGGAGCTGGAAAGTCCCTATAGAGCGGGCGTAAGGGGTCCAACAAACACAAGACTTTCACCCAGGAGCCTGCTGTTGGCTTCCTGTATGAGTGTTGAGCCAAATCATGATGTTTTTTTCTAAACCTAACCATGTGCATTTGTTGTACAAGGAAAAACACTGACATACAAGGTGTTTCAGTCAAAGACTGTATTCGTCTAATGAGCAAGAACTGTACATTGCCTGTGGGAAAGGAAGTGTGTTTTGAAAGACACAATGCATGTAACAGGCGTAAATTGGCACAATGTCCCAGAGCATCAACAACTGACGCACTTTGGATATCAGCGCATGATACGTCGACGTCAAAGGTCCACTGAAGAAGCAACAATATGTGACGAGTTGGGAGTGAGAATGTGTTGTAACCTCAAACAGGATATCAAAAATGCACCTCAGCAGGAGACAGTGGGTCAAACGAGATGAAGAAAAATACGGCTAAAAAGAAGTGTATGAGTCATCTGAGCAACAGACTGTAGCTTTTCATTCCTTTAAAAAATCAAATGTGTCTTGGCAGGATCCTTCCTGTCGACCCTAGAGAGACAATTTCTCAGAAAGACATGAGCTAGTGTCTGATATCTGAGGAGAGTGGAGGTTAACAATGCTAAGCTAGCAGGTTCTTTGCCGCAGTCAGGCCTGCAGGCCAAATTCATTTCTGCTTCAGATTTGAATCAAGGCCATCATTGTTGTTTATCAGGATAACAGCAAGTTGGAGGTTTTAATATTACTTACAGAGAAGAATTAATCAATGTCCAAAACTCCCAACACACCAGTACGTATTGTTTGTACACAGCTGGAAGTGCAGCGGCGATGTACAAACACAGAACATACGAGAGTGCACGACTTCTGCTTGTTCTCTTATTCCATTAACTGGGAGCATGGCCCTGAATATGCCACGCTTGGCAAAATCCACCCCGAGCCTCTTCTTATTTTCTCTCTTCTCATGTATCATCTGAGACAAACAAGTAAATAAATAATAGCAACGGCCACTCTTCAAAACTAGGTTTAATTATCCACAGGCAGCTTAATGGGAGGAGGGGGCTGTTTTTTTCTGAGGGGTGACAACCTCCTTGAACCTTGCTACAGACGCACAATTACA